CCCCCGCCCGCGGGGGGGGGGGGGGGGAGGGGGCGCCCCCCTTGCCTGCCCCGTCCCGCTCCCCCCGGTGCACTCGGGCGGGAGGGGGCTCAGCGCCGCGGCACCCGGGGCTCCGGGCGGAAAAGGAGGCGCCGCGCGGGCTGGGCGCGCGGGCAGCGCAGCGGGCGGCCGTGCATCCTGCCGGTTTGCGCAGCGGGGGCTCCGGGGTGAGTCCGGCGCAGCCGAATCGGGGGGCGACGCATTTCGCCCGGCGGGAGGCTGCGCGGGCAGCCGCTGTTCGCCAGGACGGCTGGCCTCCGGCGGGGGGCGAGCGGGGCAGCGGCCGGACGGGCGGTCGCTGAATCTCGCTGCGGCCGTTGGGGGAGCGAGCGAGCGAGCGAGCGGGGCTGGCCTGCTCTCGCCGAGCGCCGCGGCTTCTGGCCCTGGCCCGCATCTCGCGGAGATGCCACTTGGGAATCCGGAAAGCGCGGGGGAGCCTCTCCCCCCGTGCCGTGTTTTTAAACGGCGCTCTGAAACTCCGTCCAATTTTCCTGTTGTTGTCAGTGCTCGTACAGGAACTCTTCCTAAGAAGGAAAAAATCATCTGCCAACATCTGTATTTGATTTTGCTTTGATCATCTGGTATGTCAAAGTTTTGCTTGCTTTTTCTTTGGGTCAGGATGCCGAGCTGTTGGGGATTCCTTCTTCTCCAGAAGGAAGAGCATCCAAGGTTCGGCTGACCAAGGAAGGGTGATCAAGGCAGATCCTTGGGAATTACAGGACTGGTGTGATGCTGAAGGAAAGGGAACGGGGTCAGGTTTTTCAGAAGGCAGGCTAGAAAGTTTGCCAGTTAGTTGCGAGTCTCAAGGTTTTGGATAGCACTGGAATTTCATGGGGAAGTTATTCATGGGAGAAGGCTTGAAATCTGGTGCTTGGTGCCGAATCTCTCACGGCCCTCCTTAATGGTTTAAATGACAGAAATCCAAGGAAAAAGATCTGCTATTTGTGGTTGCTATTCTGTTCTGCTGGACAGGCAGGCAGGGACTGAGTGATGCTGTGATTAAGGGTTATCGTTTGGGGGACGGAACTGGCGTTGAATGACCATCTAGTAATGGTGGAGTCTTGGCAGGTGAGCGCGGAGGAAGCAAAGAAACTCCAGCTCCTTACTAGAGAGCAAGTGTCCAGTTGTCCAAGTCTTGGGAGGCAGGTTTTGGGTTGCCCAGCTTTTCCACTGGCGGTCGTAACTGTGCCTTTGAGGCCAACTAGCTGCACGGGCATCTGTACCTGAGAAGCTTTGCCAGCGTTTGTGAATGACCTCACCTGCCGATGTTTGTCCATCAGGTAGACAGGTGAGGCTGTGTTTTCTTCCTCCGCTGCATCGGTTGGTAGTGGCACAGCACAGCAAAGGGAACGCAGGTGGGGCTTTTACGCCTGACCTGAAAAGCGTGGCTCCTGCGATAAAAGCTGTTGTTCGCACGGCCTGGAATGCCAAACCAAGTGCCCCGTCCTTGCCCAGGCATCGGATGGGATCAAATGGAAATTATAACTGCCTGCTGAAGTGTCGCTTTTGAAAACGGGCTGAGACATTAGACTGTAGAAGAACACAGAGGCCTTTCATCTGACTGAGAATGGCACTGGACATTTGGCTGGATGGCCTTAGGTATCATTTTTCCTAGCTCTATTCTTCAAAACAAAAAGAGATGAGACCTGATTACTTCCTCCCCGTGTAACATTTGATTTCCTCTCCTTCACATGAATCTTCCTCAAGCGACAAGGATGCATCGAAAACACCTTCGCTAGGTCAAAAATAGGACATGTATCGCCTTTCTAGCACTGGTTCAAACATTAAGCAAGAAAGACCTTTAATTGGTCACCCCCAGCCTCAGAGTTAGCCTTCTCCCTGGAGAGCTAGCTTTTTCCTTGCGGGGAAATTTGGAAGCATTTTCACTTTTCAATGAGTAAATCTGTATTTACTTCTGAATCCATACTTGCAAACATGAGGGCTGGAAATGTGCTTAAAGGGCTGGCCTCACTTTATATTATAAATTAAGTTCCTTCAACAATGAGGCCTAGAAACTTGATTTCTTCAAAGAGCACTAGCAGTCTCCCAAAAAAAGTGCAGTCCTTCCAGTGCTTCCTGAAGAGTGAGCGGAACCTTTCCAGGCAATGTCAAGCATAACGCACTTAGACGGGCGTCACCACGGTGCCAATTCATTCATGCTAGTACCTTTGCAACGAAGATGCGGAGCGTGGCGTATCTCGCAATAATCAAGGCACTGCATGGCTTTACCTCGCCAGGTAGGAGCAAGTTCATCCAGCAGGCGGCTTGCCTTTGGCACTAAATTCTCATTTTCCGGCAGCTGGAAAAACTGCCTGCCCCGGAGGGTCTGTGTGCTCCCCGAACATCAGAAGTTGCCTTGCGCAGAGCCAGGCCCCCGTCTGTCTAGTTCCACGCTGCCACGGCTGACTGGCAAAAGGCTTTTCCAGCCTGACCCAGGAGATTGGACCCTTCTCTAAAAATCGGACCCTTGAAAGGGAAAGCGGAGAGACCATTCCGCACTCGTGTCTCTCCTGGGAATGGATTTCACAAGCTCGTGATGAGTTCTGTGAGGAAACGCCTTTCCTCAGTCCCAGGTTTCTGTTAGTTGGTTCAATTCCTGCACCCCGTCCCGAGTTCCTGCCCTCGATGGAGGGCTGCTCATGCCTGTCGATGCTTTGAGTGAGTGAAGGCGCCCTTCCCATGGGAGCTGCTTTTGCACAACAGCTGGCAGGCAAAAATACGCGTTGCATGCAATTATGGTTCGGTAGACGCTGTTATCTGGGTTCTTGAGGATTTCACAGTTTTCTGTGCGTGTGTGATGTGTGTGGGTGTGTTTGTGTGCTTGAACAAAATGGCTGATTTGGAACCCTCCGGATCAGACGGGGGCCTGATGAACAGTGCGACCTTGTGCACTTGGAACATGGGAATTGCAATAGATAAGTCGAAGAGGAAACAAAGAACGCGGTTCTCCCTCTAGAAATAATAATGTTGACTTCTTCCAAGCAGGACGTCTTGTGCTTCTCTCCCTGGCTGATTCGTTCCCTTTTTTGTCCTCATGCTCCTCTGTTTTATCTCACTCTCTTTTTTCTGCTTTGCAAGCTGTAACGTGTTATCTCTGCAGATTCTCAACACTCCCATGAATTGACTGTCGCTTGACTGTTCTTGAAATGCACGTGGCTTGCGCTGGGTTGCCAAGGCGGGCGGCTGCCTGTAGGCTGACGTGTTTTCTCTTCTCCGCTCCCCCACTCCTTCTGGCTTAATTGCTGCAGGTTCCGCTTTGTGCCAAGCCCGGGGGAGCTTAGGAAGGGCTGTTCTGCACAGGCCCACGCTGCGAGGGGCACCAGAGGTGGGTGGGCTGCTCACGTGACCCCTTTATTCCCTTGGGGACTGAGTTGAGACAGCAGGACGACATGCACGCACAGGGGCTGAACCATGGCTTGCGGCTGAAAGGTGCGGCATGGTGGGTCTGAACCCAGCTGAGAGCATGACCCGTGGATCAAGAGACCCCGTGCTTCCTTGCTGGGTTGTGGACTCTGGGTTATTCACCGTGGTTTGTTACCTCAGCTGGGTCCAGGAAACACCATAACCTATGTTCCACAAGAGAAGGTTGGGGGGGGGCGGTTCTGTGAACCATCCAGGAAGGGACTTGGGAGCACCCCCTTTTTCTTCATGGTGCCTGCAGTCTAGCGAACGTTGGGAGAATTCATCCCATTGAACGCAGTTCGAGGCATTTGCTGACCTGTATTTCTGTGCTGTGCTGTATTCCCGAAGGCCTGCCGGTCCCCCGTGCCTCCTCTTGCCACGGAGAGTGGCCGGTCCCACAGAATGCGATTTTTTTAAAGTCAGAGACCTTATTTTCTTTCCTGCCAGTAATCGGCAGCGTGCCTGGGACAAATTTCTCTCCATACGAAAGCTTTGGCTACTGGGCACTATAGAAATGAACTAAATAGCAGCAGCAGCAACTAACTTCCTGGGGAAGCAAGTATGGCTCTGCCTGGTGCCCAAGTGATGAGGGTGCTGCCTCCCCAAGGGAGTCTCTTATTGAACACGGGGCCACTACTGGGGAGGCCCCGTTCCCAAACTGACCGCTTCGCAGGCATGTGTTGGAGGGGGCACAGAAAGATGGGAACCTCTGAGGCATCAGGTGCTGTGCAGGTACATCCAGATGTTTGGCCTACAAATCCCATCAGCTCCAACATAGCCAATGGCAAAAGGACGATGGGTACTGTAAGCCAAAACATCAAACAGTGGTCCCCACGCCTGGTACCTTCAGCAGAGACCAAACCGCTGATTTTCCATAAAATCAGAACGTTGCACACGGGCGACTTTGAACTGAAGCACAGGGACCCTAGAAAAGGCCCAGGGCTCTGTTGCCCATCTGCAGAGGCCCTGCTTCCCTGCCGCAGCTGCAGCGTTCCGCTAAATAAATACAGTGCCGCCAGGCAGGCGGGAAGCTGCGGAGGGCCCAGAAACGGCCGGATCACGTTGCCCAGCTGCTCCGTGAGCAGTGTATCCACAGCACGCGGCTGTTCGGAGGACAGGGCAGGCGTGGAAGCGGGCAGCAGCTGGCCCACCTTGCGGCGCCGATTGCCCAAGCTGCGGAGGGCACGTTTCTGACCCGCGCGCTCAGTGCTATATAAACGCGAAGAGCGAATGCTCTGAAGAATTGCGCTCTGCAGCGGGCGCCTAAGATTGTGCTCGCCGCCGGCCTGATTGCATTCCTCTCGCTTTCTTCTCATCTGACCCCATTTCCTCCATTTACACGACCTCGTGCCAATCTGCTTCCTTTTTTGGTGCAGTTTTGATGTGGGCTTCAGAGGAGGATACAGGGTCATGGCAGCAGCTCAGAGTGCTGCGGGCACCGTTCCCAGTTAATGGAATCAACTATTTATATACAATGGCTGGCAGAATTCCCACAATGCAGACCCTAAAGTAAATAGGAAACCAGTGTTGGGTGCAGGAATCTGGTAGTCCGTCCGTCCGTCCGTCCATCCGTGTGTGTGTGTGTGCGTGAAATGCATTTCTGGGGTTCTCAAGCGCAGTACAAACGGTTGGACAGGAATGCTTTTCTCCGTTCAGAAAGCAGGACCTGCGGAAGCCACACACTGGTAGCAACATCAGTGTCATTGGTTTCCTCGACTGGATGCATGCTAGGAAGTTTGCTCCGGATTGGTTGCTCACTGCTTATGGGGCTTCACCGTGATGCACTCAGATTCTTGCCATAAAAATATATTTTGGTGACATTCTGTTGTGCAGTAGAACATCCCTAACTGGGCATCACAGATGGAGGGCTTTTCCCAGCCACGCTCTCCCTGGACACTGGCAGCCACCTCTGAGGCCTCCTTCCATACGCCAACCCTGAGGAAGGCTCAGAGGCCGCCGGCGAGAGGAAGGGTCTTTCAGTGGCGGCCTCTCCATCTGTGGGATCGTCTCCCCACTTAAGCCTGCCTGGCACCAACTCGGCCATCATTTCCGCACCAGGTTAAGACGAACCCTTTTCCACTTGACATGTTAAGACATACATGGATATTTAATGGCTGTGAAGGGAGTAAGGACGCAGCTCCACTGGTTAGAATGCTGCGTTATGTGCTTTAGCTATTCGATCCCAGTCTCTGATCCTGGTTTGCAAGGCAAGCATAAACCAGTTTGGTGGCTCTGGCACCAGGAAAGGAACCTGGGAGCCAAGACCCAGGCATTAAACCACAAATTAATTGTAAAGATATAGGTGTTTAAATCAATCTTCGTCCTATTCAATAGGCACAAGTGGAGTGATGTGATAGCTATTCAGTCTGGGGGGTTGTTTGCTTCCAGAGTGCCGTGTTGGTCTTGTTTGCGAGGTCTCCTTTCATTCCTGTATCTACCTGCATTTCCAGCAAGCTTTAGCGAGAAAATGCCATATTTCTTCCTCAAGATAGCTATTTAATGTAGCATCTGGATTCACTTTAGCTGCAGGGCCCAGAAAAACATTTGCCAAATGGACTTTAGATTTACTACAAGACGGATTGTTCCAAATTGGTGTCTTCCCTCTCCAGACTCAGGGGATGATAATTTAATACTTGTACCATATTGCATGTTTCATTCTCTCACCCTGCCGAGATCGCGCTAACGGCGCTGTCTAACCGCCAGGAAAAGCGTGTCTTCTGTGCTGTATGATGAGTGGAGGGCAGGCAGAGGGAGAACTGGTGGGCCAGCGGTGATCTTGTCCACATTTGGCTTCCGCACGTGCCCCTGATGCATTTCCTCTCTGGCTTTGCCCCTTGGCCAAAGAGGGCGCCTTTCCCTGGTCTGAGAAGTGCCCCCAAGCCGGAGCCGCGGCGACTCACCCCGTGGGGCCACAGTTCTTGCCCCACGACTCCTGGCACACTATACGGCGAGGCGGCCCGGCAAGGTCACCTGGCCGCCTTGGAGCCAAAGCGCACCCTGCACTGCAGTAACGGTCCTGCCCCCTTGTTTTGCCGCAGCATCCCAGGGGGCCAGCCGCCTCCCCGAGGAATGACGCCGGTGAGCCCACCATGAGAACATGCAGCTCCGGCAGGCCTGACCTCGGGAGGCCGCGTCTCCACAATGAGCCGCTCAGCGCCTTCCAGGAGTCTTCCAGCATCCTGCCTCGCACGCCGGCGCTGAAGGCGCACCGCGCAAGCGGGATGGATTCTTTTGTGGTGGTGATGGAGTACGGTCCAGCGTCCACGCCAGGCCCGGGGGGAGAGCTGGGGGACCAGCTCATGGACCCGTGCGAGGAGCCCCCGGTGGCACCAGGAGCCAGAGGACTCGAGCCGAAGGGCTGCCTTGGAGGCACCCAGGAGGGCCCCTCGAGAGAGATGAGGGAATCCCGCGTCAAACTGAGCCTGTCAAGTCGCAAACTCTCTCTCCAGGAGAAGTCTCAGTTCGTCCAGTCCCCTGGCGGTAACGCGGGGGTCAACGGGCGCTACATTTATCCTTCCCTGCCTTACTCCCCAGTTACATCTCCACATTCTTCACCTCGTCTTCCCCGGAGGCCGACAATAGAATCCCACAGAGTGTCTATTACGGGATTGCAGGTAAGAGAAGCTGTCTTTGTTGTTCTTGACAGCGGAAGTGTGACGCTAGGCCCTTGGCGTGTTGGTTCAGAGGCTCCTGCAAGCACTGACTGTCTTCCTAGCAAAGGTGGGCTGAGCAGCAGCGCCCTCTGTGCTTCATTCAGGGAACTGCCCTATAATGTACTGCAAGGCACTTTGGAGAGGCCCAGTTAGTGTCGGGAGAGTCAGGTGACACACTGGTGCTTCTCCATCGTACGAGTCAGTGCTGTTCAGTCCAGACCCTCTGGATATGCTAGATTGTAAGCCACTAGGAAGGCCTCGCCAATGACAGGCGGCCTTTAAATATATGTAAATGAATAAATAGACAAATACGTGACTTGGTTTTCAATAAGGTGGGGAGGTACCTGAGTGGAGCATTGTGGGTTCTGTCCTGCACATCTTTTATTCTGGCACTGCCCCTGCACCTATGAGCATCCATAGCAGGTGTTTGCACCGAAGGGCCATGGGATGGGATGGGATGGGATGGGGGGATGCGAAGGGCCACGCACACTTACCTGGTGAGTGGCTTCCAGGTAACGATCCGCAGCTGCACTGGCTTGACTCGGGGTTGACTCTCCTGCAGTCGTACCTTCCAGCTCCTCCTCGCCCATCCAAAGGCTGCAGCTCAGGCATGAATCGCTAGCCTTGCATACAAACGTTCTGGGGTTTGGTTCCTTGTCCAGCTGGGCATTCCTGGGCTGGCTGAGCCGACGGACAAACTGCAAGGGCAGAATGGTGTCTATTAAGGGGCTGCAACCCGGCGTGGCCCTACTCTGACCTTCCTGGGTTCTGGCCCCAGCCTGCCAGGGTCTCCATTTTGCAGTCTTGGCTAGGGAGTGCCGGGAACAGTAGGACTTTCCCGTTTAAGCATGCAGAGCATTGCATCCCGAATGATCTAATTCTCACGTGTGAATGCGTACATCTAGTTAGCTTTGGTCATTCCCAGGAACAAGTTGGATTCTGGAAGGATTTTAGTATGCTTTTACTGCATGCTTTTATTCAGAATCCAGTGGATACTTTTCAGTCATTTCTTTTAACCTGCTTTTACTCACCTGGAGTGTTCTGGACAAACCAAATGGGAAACATGGCTGTGAAACGCTGAGAGGTGCAGAGGCAGAGGAGGACGGCTGAGACCCCGGACTGATAAACTGCCAACTGTTGCATGCGGCATCCGCTCTGAAAGAACAATGGGGCACAAATTTAACATGCAATAAAAGGCAGTCACTTCCTCATTAAAAGGCAATCCTTCTGACACTTGTAGAGACTTTTACAGTTTGTTTAATCCCAGCTGTCTCAACATGAAACCTCGAACCCTCTCATTTCCCAGCACTGGCAGTTGGCCACATGGAAGAAAACTTTCTCCTCCGCCCCTTCCTGCTCTTAATAAACCTGCCTCTTATTGCTAGGCGCTGAAGGAAACTTAATTTATCTGCAAGTGGCAATAAATGGCTGGGAGAGCAGAGGGTGTTGCATGACGCCGAGGCCTCGGTTTCGTGCCCGAGCATTTATTTTGCTCTTTCCTAACATGGTCCAGATGGGCTGGGCGTAATGTTGCAAGGCGCGTGGCGGCCGCTCGCTCTGAGGGGCTTGGGCCTGTTCAGGGGGCTGACCCTGTGCTAGCCAAGGGCTGCACCCACCTTCCGGGACTGCTGGGCCGGGCAAGGGTCTCCCCAGTCAGGGACCTGTCCCACCGGGGACCAGCTGCCTTGCAGAATCCCACCGGTAGGACGCACCTCAGCCGCTGGCTTGATGCAGGTGGCAACACGGGCATTGTAGCTGGGAGCTGCTGGGCGCCTTCTCCCAGAAACTGGCCCCGGCTTGTTGCAGCCCCCCCACCCCCGTCGCAGCTCCTTGCAAGGAGGAACTCCACAACTGGACCATCTGCCGGCAGGGGAAGGGCCTCCCTCGACCAGGACCAGAGGCAGAGGACCTGGAGGGCCGGCGGGGGGCGGGAGGGGCTGTGCCATGCCAGTCCTGCTTGCGGGATCCCACGGGCAGCTGGTGGGCCGCCGGGAGCACGACGCCGGGCCAGCAGGCCGGCTCTGCACAGCCCTTACGATCTCGGCCCTTCTGAGTCTACCCCAGTTCAGCTGCACGGTGTGAGCCCTTCGGGTATTGCAGGAGCAGCAGGAAACTGTTTCTGCGTTCACGTTCTCCACATTGTGCTTCTCTTGGGCATTCCTTCTTTCCCAAGGGGAAAAGAACCTAAGAAAAAGATCTCCAGCTTTTGCAGATTTCCCTTGCAGGGCTTTCCCCAGTCCCTCGAGCATCTCAGCTGCCCATGTTTTGTGCTTCTGGTTCAGGCGCATCAATCCAGTTCGTGGGCAAGAAGCTTTTGTGTTCCAAGTGCTGCCGACCTGGTTTCCCAGCAGCAAAACTGGGGGTGGAAGCGGAGGCAGAGCGAGTGGGCTTTGTGCTACACTGCAGCCAAGGCCAGAACGCAAATGCTTTGGCCCCCTAATGAGAAGGAGCGACTCACTGGAGAACACCCTGACGCTGGGAACAGCGAAGGCAAAAGCAGCAGGGGGCGGCGGAGGAGGAGGTGGCCGGATGCAGCGACTGGGGCAGCGGGCGTGGGGATGGGGGGACTCCGGGGGATGGCGGAGGACGGGAGAGCCTGGAGGAATGCTGACCATGGGGTCGCGATGGGTCGACTTGACAAAAAAAATAGCCAAGGCCTGCTGGGCGATGGTGGTGCTGTCAGCCCAGAGGGCAAAGCAGAGGCCCCAGGCCAGATGCCCAGATCTGGCCGTCCACACGCCACAGCCAGGGCCAGGCCGGCGGCTGAGCCTGGAGCCAACAGCCGTTCACCGGTGAGGCCAAGCGAGGCACCTGGACGCTCGTCTCACCGGTGCAGCTATAGCTGGAACTTCGGGCCGAAGTGCGGATCCTGCCGTCCACCCCCAAATAGCCAAGCAGCAAGCAGAGGGGGGCCTCCGCTCGGCAGAGCAAGCACCTGCAGCTCCCATCAGCCCCGGCCAGTATGGCCAGCGGTCAAGGGGGACGGGAGGTGCGGTTCCGTCCATCCGCCCGCTCCGCACCGGGGCAGCTTGTGCCTCTTGCGGCCGCCCTGGGAGCAGTCGCGTGTCTGGCTGGACGGCGTCGCCCGTGTCTTTCCTGCAGGCAGAGCGGAGAGAAGCCTTCCCTCTCGGGCAATTGAACCTGTTAGCTGATGGGGATAATTGAGGTTAATTAATAAGCAATTGGCTCCACAAGAGGCCTATTACATATTTTCTTCGTCTGCGGCGCTCTAGCGAGTCTCAGGCACTAGGCGGCTGCGGCGGATCGCTCCGGCGGCCCCTCGCCGCGCTGTCCTGAGCGAGGGACCCGGCCTGTGCCTGGCTCCTTCTGGGTCGGTTTCTGGGTGCCCGGCCGGCTCTGACTCCCTCCTCTCTTCCAGGACTGCGTGCAGCTCAATCAATACACCCTGAAGGACGAGATCGGAAAGGTGCTTTTTGCATTTTTTTACAAAACTTTTGGATATATGAGGTCTGAGTATTTGGGCTGGGAGGAAATGGGGCGGTAAGTACTCCGGTTGGGGGGGGAGAACGCGCTGTTGGTGACCCAGGGGGCAGCTGGGCCACTCGCGGGGGATCTGCTCATGCAGGTCCGATTGTCCCCACCCCGTTAGGCTCCTGCCTGAAGAGGGGGCGAATCCCAGGAATTCCCTGCCAGGGGTGGCAGGAATGGGGAGGCCCGGATGCACCCCCGTGTTGGCACCCTCCTGGAGCCCCGACGGGTGGGGCAAAGGCTGATGGGGGTCCCAGGACAGTGTTGTGACCCAGGGGCACCCCCTCTGCCCGATCCTTCACCCTCGGTCCGCCCGCCTTGGGGAACTCTGCAGCAGGACTGGCTCCCCCCCCCCCGGGGGTCATGGGCCAAAACGGGCCACCCTGGGCCTAAGAAGCCCCTGTTTTGATGGAAGTCTGTGCCTCCCCCTCCCACTCCCCTTCCACAGGGCTCCTACGGGGTTGTGAAGCTGGCGTACAACGAGGACGACAACACTTACTATGTGAGTAGCGGACTTGGGGGGGGGCGGGGTGGTGGTGGTGGAGGGGGCAGCGGTGATGGGGAACGAATGTCCCGGGTTCAAGCCAGACGAGCTCAGCAAGCCAGGGATGCGCGCGTCTGGCGAAGGGTGCAGAGCTGCCGGTCTGGGGTTCAGTCTGGCCCCGCCGTGCCCTCCCAGTGGCCTCGCCCCCTTGCTTCCCACCACCGATAAGTTGGCGGTTTCTGGCTCCCCCCATGCTGAACGTCGTGCTGCTTCCTCTAAGCCTTAGTTGCTGCTGCAAAGATCTCGAAGGCACAATCCAGGGCGTGTGTAGCGGGAAAAGGTGCCACGGCTTTTCCCGCGTGGCTGGCAGAGGAAGGAATGCTGGGACCGTAGGCCCTTTTCTTCAGCTCCCTATCCATAAATAGGATCACACAGTGGAGGAATTGCTCGGAAAAGGTGGAGATGTTATTCTTTGGGCCATTCCGTTAGCCCTTGGTCCTGCCAGGCACCAGATGCGCCCCTCAGGCCCCCCAAGAGCCTCTCCGAGGGGCAGCTTCAGACCTAACAGCTCTGCATTAGCACGCCGGACTTAGGCAAGGGGGCAGTGTGGTTTGGATTCGCACGTTCAGTGCACCACGGAAAGATTCTCTGCTTGCTTGCTGTCTTTAAAGAGTGCCACATTCTGTCACTCAGTATAAAGCACTCCTCAGGGCGGATCCAAACCAGCAGAACAAGAATGCAAAGCATAGCAACCAAGATAAACAGAGAATAATAATAAAAACAATTTTTATCTCCTCTGGGGGCGGTTTTTGTTTGCCGCATAATAAGAGGTCGATCCGCAGTTGCTCTGAAGGTTGGGGAGGTGGCAGTTTAATCACGTCCCCCCTCCGATTCTGCTCTCGAATCAGGAGCGGAGGGGGTGGAATTGCCAAATATAGTTGTGCTTGTGTGGTTGCCAGCCTTTCGACTGGTTTTTTCTTAGAGAGACGCATATTTTGATTATCTCGTCTTTGCAGCACTGCAAAGCTGCGTGTGGTGGTGGGATCTGCCTCCAAGGGTGGGGATTCTATGACCCCCCCTTGATGCTGGTGGACTACAGCCCCCATCATCCCCACCCCCGGTTGAATCAACCCTACTGGGCGTCCCCATGGCTTCCCGTGCAGGACACGGCCGCAGCCGAGGGGTCCCACAGCGCTCCTCACGGGCTGTGCTCTGCTCGCTTCCCCGCAGGCGATGAAGGTGCTTTCCAAAAAGAAACTCATGAGGCAAGCGGGATTCCCACGTAAGTGCGGCTGCGCCGGGCTGCCCCGGGGTCTGGCCCGGGCCTGTGGGAGCAACTCCGCAAAGGGGCTTGGCTGCGGAGCAGGATGTGGCCCGTCGGAGGTTCTGGCCCCCAGCTGCCGCCCGCCCGCTCCAGCATCGCCCGCCTGGGGAGCCGGTGGGATCGATGCTGGGTGGGGGACGGGGCTCGTGCAAAGGGGTCCTTCCCATCGCCTGGCCCCTTCTGCCGGGGGCGGCGGGGTCTGAACAGGGGCCTTTCGCAGGCGAGGCGGGCGCTCCGCCACCGGGCTGTGGCCTCAGCTGGAATACGCCCCAAGCCTGGGTTTCCCTGGCCGGCTGGACGGGCAGCATCGGGGCTTTGCGCCCTCCGCCAGCCCTCTGCATGGGTGCCCGCGTTACCTCCCACAGGCCGCCCACCCCCTCGCGGTGCCAAGCCCCCCCTGGAAGGCTTCTGCCAACCCAAAGGGCCCATCGAGCAGGTCTACCAGGAAATCGCCATCCTGAAGAAGCTCAACCATCCCAACGTGGTGAAGCTGGTGGAGGTGAGGCTGGGCTTGGGCGCCACGCGGACATCGCTCCTCGGTGTGGAGCAGCTGAGGGTGGTGCTGGTCTCGCCCCTCGCCTCAAGGCCAGTGGGTGCCCTCCGGATGGGTCGGATTGCAACCCCATCATCCCCAGCCATTCTGGCCGGCAGTCCAGGAGGATGCGAGTCTGAAGCATCAGGAGAGGGCCAGGGTGGGAAGTGTTTCCGGGGTGGTGCAGTGAGGCGAGGCAGTGGACTCTGGCTCTGAGCGGGCGCCAGTATCGGAGATACACCGTCCTTGCGGGAATTTGCTTGTTATGCAGGTTCCAGCAGCATTTTCCCCTTATCCTTTTGCACAAAAGAGAGAAGAACCCAAATGACAATTCAATGGCAAAAATTGAAACATGGGGTTCTGCAAGCAGAGATCACTAAAGCCGCCCACGAAGGCCTCAGCAGCTAAAGGCAGCCCATAATTACACATACGAACAAACAAACAAATAAAATGAGGGGGTTTTTTTTCTTGGGCACTATTTCTGAAACTTACGGAAAGCTCAAAGGAACTTCAGAACAAAGATACTGAGGTCTGAAGCTTATCGTTGTGGCATCGTAATGGGAGCAAGGAAAAGCAACCTCATGTTACGTTATTTCTTTGATAGCTTCTAATCTATTTATGCAGGCGCAAAGTTTGTTAGAAGTGTCCCACTGCCCCCTGCTGGTGCTCTTGTTCCCTTTATATCTTTATTTTTTCTGAACCTCTCTCTGTTTTCCCCTGGGACCCTCAGGATATCTAAGCCAGAGGTGCCCATCATCTCTGAGCTGGCTGGAGCCAAAGAGAGCTATAGTGCAAAACCGCTGAAGGATACCAAATTGGGAAAAGCTGCTGTACTGAGCCATCAACACAACACAACACAGTGGGTGCAACCACAACACGGCTTCCCTTCCATTTCAACACGGGGTTCTTCTTTGAGAAGGACCAGCAAACTGTGGTTCCACAGGTGTTGGAAGTCAGCTTTTCCAGGTTTTCCAGAGACAGGGGGTCTAGAAAAAGACCCGCACAATTCCACACACACAAAGAGGCCTGGGCCTCCCTCAAAACTGCCCGACTACAAGGGCCAAGGCCCATCACGTCCAAGAGACAAATTGTGCGTTCTGCAGATATCGCAAGAGAATCTCACACCGAGACCTCAACGAAGCGAGAGGTGCCAGGACACCAGACCACTTATCCGAATGCATGTTGAGGGGGGAAAGGTATAAGATTGAGAGAGGATGAGCTGGGAGAGACTAATGGGAATTGTAGTCCAACATATCTGGAAGGCATCAGGTCAGGAGAAGGCTGGCGGAGCCCAATAGTTTTTTAGAAAACAAAACCCTCCATTTTCCTGCATGCTTGAAAATGTCAAGAGGTTTGTAACCAAAGTTGAACTGAACTCTCAGACTGTGGAAAAGGGTTAGCAAAACTAAGGTGGTTCTGGCACTTCCGACGCCTGGAACGTGCTTAGAATGGGCAGATAGAATGAGCCGGGCGGAAAAACCTGCGGAAAGTGAGGGTTTAAAAAATGGCCCTGATGCATGGGGAATTTGCCCTATTTTAGGATTACCCAAAAAATCTAGGTTAG